GTTCTTTAAGGAGAAAATAATATGCGACTGAAACTAATATTAAGTAATCTAACATAGCAACCTTTTTCCTTATAATATTTTAATTTCTACTATAAGGATCAATCAAGCTCCATGGTATCCATCAACTCCTACCTATTCCCCTGATGAATTTATTGGATAATGATAATACCCTAATATAATATCTAGAATTGATCATTCTTTTATGTTTAGCTAATATTTTTAGAGCCCTAAAGCCACTTTTAGTGTCTCAATGCTTTTAGTCATTTTGATGAGGAGCAGTAGGAAAGAATCAAGTGAAATGAAGCCAGAGAAATGAGGGGCAGATATCAAGGGGGAAAGTCTAAGTGAGAATGGGCCTTGGGAAATTTGAGAATGAAATTAGTAAACCAAAGGAGATACATATTACACTCAGGATCCATGCCACCACTAACGAGTGGTATTTCAGTAACTGAACACATTTGGATAGATCCCAAGATGGACGCAGTTTATAGTGAGTTCATCTTCCCAGCAAATAGTGTTACAATGAGGTTCCTTCCTGTTATACCTTCCCACTTCTCTGATCTCTTTGTGTTTATGGATATAACGTTTTCTCTGCCCCAGGAAAACTTTCTGAATAATATAATAGAAACTTAATCTCTGAATTATCGAAAAGGATAAAAAGTTGGACATTTTACAGAGGGAATGGTATAAATTTCTTGCAGTTTGTTATGCAGAGTGGCAATACAATGAAAAACAGTTTTATTCTGAAATCCCAGCTTTTTTCCACAGAAAGCCATACTCAACTTTCTAGCACAAAAACATCATATCTAATAGGAGAGATTTCTTAAAACAAATTAAACTGTTCTCTTAAAGTATCATGAATAAATAGGATACTGATCTCTCTATAGGTAGCGGTTATGCAAACAAGGGCAGGGGAGGACTCTCAATCTTTTGCTTTTACCTCTTCTAGAATGTGAATGTCATGGGAACAAGTACTTGTCTTTTCACTGCTATATCCTTAGCACCTGGGAGAGGGCCTAGAATCTATTTGGGGAAAGGAGTGTTGGAGGAAGAGCCCTAGATTTGAATGTGGGCTTGAAATACGGTGGTTCTACCATTCAAAAATTCAAATGAAAAAGGATCTGCCAAAAAGATAGTGAACCCTTAAAATATAGCAAGTTCAACGTATGGATCACAATATTAAGGCTAGAAAAGGCAAAGTGATAAATTTTTTTAAAATTGAAAGTGAAGTGCTATAGTTTGGGTGAATCAAGTGCCTGAATTAATACAGTGGTGTCGTGGCCCAGATTGCAGAACGGGGGATGGACACAGAAAGAAACACACAGACACACACAAGACATACAAGACTGCAGTGGGGATTCCACCAGTCGCTTTATTCTTATACTTTTCTCTGTCCGGCAGCTACTTCCTGGCACGTGACTACCTTGGGTGCCCTGAGGAAAATACATTTTCATTCCTTCCAGACGATTGCTTAAGGGAAGCAGACGTTTGCATCTTAACTTCTTGCATCTTAACTTCTTTATCTCATTACCTATGCAGGACAATGAGACGCCTTGGCTTGTTTGCAAGACCCCAGGCGCTTGGTTATCTGTCATAAAGCTATCTGTCATGAGGAATAGTTCTGTTTGATCAACAGGCTGTGCCTGGGCCTATTGACCTCTGGCGCCAAGGAGAGCACACCCAGTTTCGCTGACTCTGGGCTTAAGCCAATTTTTGCCCAGGGACGGTCCCTACACACACCCAGTTTCGCTGACTCTGGGCTTAAGCCAATTTTTGCCCAGGGACGGTCCCTACACAGTGGTTCTAGGAATGCACACATTTTTGCGTGCTGGTGGTTGCTGACAGTGACTCAGAGCAGGAGCTCATCTAGTGGACCGGCCCCTGCTGGCCTGCTCTGCACCCTCTCTCTGCGCCTGATTCCTTGGCTAGCAGAGTGCAGACTTTTCTTTCTGCTGCCCCAGGAGGAACTCGAGAGGATTGAGTAGAGGACCATTAGTTGTTCTTCCAGGTCAGCTTTGGCCCTGTTTCTGAGGCTCCTTGTGCAGGGCCAGTTAGGATGGAAAGGGGCTCCTGGCTCAGGAAGGCTTAGGCAGATGGCTGAGCTTGTATCTCCAGTGGTGGAATGTGGAGGTCACTGCCGAAGAGGCCTTCGATGTTTCAGGGAGCTCAACATTCGCCCTTTCTGCAGAGTGGCTCTGCCAGCAACCTTCCTGCGGGCCAGCCTCCTGGCGCGATGTTGCACACGCCGAATTTTGGGGCTAGGGCAACCTAGGTCTTCCTCTCCCTCCTCCACAGCCCGGCGTCTCTTGAGAGCCCGGCGTTTCTCGGGAGGCGGGCTGGGGGCTCTAGGGGTTGGCTTCTCTGCTTCGGCCTTTGCTGGTGTGGCCAAAGGAGCATCCCCAAAGAGCACACGCCGAATTTTGGGGCTAGGGCAACCTAGGTCTTCCTCTCCCTCCTCCACAGCCCGGCGTCTCTTGAGAGCCCGGCGTTTCTCGGGAGGCGGGCTGGGGGCTCTAGGGGCTGGCTTCTCTGCTTCGGCCTTTGCTGGTGTGGCCAAAGGAGCATCCCCAAAGAGCCGGTAGCCGCCACCCAGGCAGTACGTCTCCCCATGCCAGCCCACCCGGGTTTCTCCATGCCCTTGGTAGAGGAGGTGGTAGTATACAGACGGACAAGTGGGAGATGGTGGTACTGGAAAGGAAAGCAGAACTGATCAGTCACATTGGCTGTATGCATCGTGTCGTCAGGATGTCCCCTCTCTCATATCTCTTCCTGCACCTGGCTGAAGCCCTCTCATCTGCTTGGCATCCCAAACACAGCCTTAGTCTGTCACCTCTGTGGGTCCCTTAGAGATGGGACACTGGCTGCAAAAGCAATTCCCTGGAGCCTGTGGCAGCAGCAGACCAGGATGTCCTCCCCATTCCCAGAGAGAACAGTAGAACCTCAAAATAATTGCAGTTGGGAGCCCCTCGGTCTCTCCCTTGCACAACTGAAGAAACATTCTTAAGGTCTGTCACTTCTGAGGATTTCATGGAAGTGGTTTTCATGTGTTGGATCAATGGTCTAATATAACTCAGGTAAGAACCCCTCCCACCTTGGCAGCTCCTCTTGGGCCTCATTCATACAGCCTGTTTCACCCACACTGAACTGTAGCCCTTGGATACTTTTATCTAGATTTTCTAACACTTTCTGAAGGCCAAATGCTGAAGCACAGTGACCAGGAAGGTCAGAGCCAGACTCTGGGTACCACGTCTAGTCTCAAGAAGCCTTGTCACATCTACCCAACCTCCTGGGACACCACTTCCTCGGGCCTCCAGTCTCAGCAGTGCTACATCATTCCCCCTGGCTCTCCCTTCTTCCCAGCTAAGTGATGTCATCCTTGTCCCCAGGGCTCAGACTGGGATGTGTCTTCAGGACAGCATAGCAAAGGTGCCTGGGTCTGAGGGCAGGTTCATGAGCGTCCCTCGACAGCTCTGCCTCAAACTGCTTCATTTGTCACTTGCCCACAAAACCACATTTGGCTTTTGCTAAGAGGCCAGTCAGGAAAGGGTCTGACTGGCCCTTGTGGTTCAAAAGGGAAGGCTAGATTTGAAAAGATGAAAACCTTTAGGAACACTTGCTCAGAGCTGGCATTTCACTTGCCCTCAGCAGTGAGCAGGAACGCTGTGGGTCCCCGAGGGGGCCCCAGGCCATTGGTACTACTTATGGCTAGAGAAGTTTTGGCGTGGTGGGAAAACCCAAAAGTGGCAGCCAGGTGAGGCTGTGGGCACACCAGTGCCTCCTGTCCCGATGCCTACCTGCCGTGCAGCCCTCCCAGGGGACAGAGGATAAGTCACAGTTAATATACAAGATCCAGTCAGTCATTCTCTCTCAGGCAACCAAACAGATTGGTATCTCGAAGAGAAATGGTAGGGCAGTTTCCCCAAGGGTACCACATTTCCATAGTTACTCTGCCATGGAAACCGAGAAGGCCTGTGGGGTCATCATTGCCCAGTGAGGTCATCACTGCCCAGTGAGGTCACATAAGCAATCTGTGAGTGGAGGGCAGGCTTCAGGCCCTTGGAGTTTTGTGGAGGAGAGTAGGGCAGAGGCAGAGAGGGACCCTGCCTGAGCCCTCACATCTGGCCCTTCCCACCCAAGGCCTAGTCAAGTAGCCACTCCCTGTGGAGCACACCTGTGGGCTGGCACAGACAGCCCCAGTGACCCCAGAAGGGCAAGAGACAGTCAAATTCTGAGATTGGCCAGAGAGGCAAGATTAACCTGAGAGGCAGCTAGGTTGCACGGCACTGACCCTAAGCATTCAACAGTTGGAGGGACAGAGATTTAGATGGACTAGGGGATCAGGGCAGACTTCTTGTACGTGCGCCTGAAGGGCAAGTGAGATCTGGACACATGGAGAGGACAGACATTCCCGCTGGGGAGAATAAAAGCAAAGACAAGCTCTTCTTGACCATGTTCTGCCCCAAATGTAAATTGATAGAAGCCTCTTTTTTTAATAAGTGAGAACTCAAAAAATTCAGAGTGTTGGGGGCCTGGCCAAGGCCACACAGGTAGTAGAGAGTCATTCTGCTCAACAGTAGGGCTTCTTGTGGACCTCCAGATTTATAGCTCATAGAAATGCGAGCATAAGGCCACAATGTTTAAAGGTGATAAACACTGGGAGGGATGTTATAGGTGCTCCAAGGTAAAATGAGAGTCTCAAATGACTGCACAAGGTGGGAATAATGGGCCATCGGTAATTATTATGAGTGGAGACACATAAAAACATCATAATTGGAAATTATGACATGACACAAGGTCAAAATCCAGTGTGTATTTGATGTGTCATGGGAAAGACTACAGAGAGCCATGTTCAGTAGCTTACTTTTCCCAGTCATATACCAGCTCATCTGGCCCTCATGGAGGTGACAGGGCAGCCCAGAACCTCCAGCTGAGAAGTGTGTTACACGCCCAGGACACTGGGAAAGATCCCTATTCTGCCATCACTTTTAAGCTAGCCAAAATCAGCTTTGCTGAGGCAACAGCTCTCTCACTGAGGACACTAGTCCTGGAAGGCTTCTCCTTCGGCGAGCTGCCAGCTCAATCTTCTGAACCAGGCTCACATCCCAGGGATGGGTTACAAAGCTGATGACAGTGCCTGGAACCTCACTCCCCACACGGCCCACCCTCCCTGCTCTGTGGATGTAATCTTGCAAGGTGAGGGGCAAATCATAATTGACAACCAGCTCCACATGGATGCTGTCCAGGCCCCAGGAGTCTATGTCTGTGCAGAGAAGTCCGTCTTGGGAGTCCTTCTGGAAGCACCGGAAGATGCCTGCCCTCATTGAGGCTGGCATTTGCCCCTGCAGCCTTAAATGTTGGATTTTGTGGTCATTGAGAATATATCCCAGCCAGTTCACAGTGCTAGAGCTACTACAGAACACCAGGACAGTTCCTGAGGGTCCAGTCCTGTCTGCTTTGTCATGATGCTTGAGGATCTGCACCAACTCAGTCACCTTCTCTGCTGCCTTCAACCTCATAAATGTCTGTCTGACATGAGGCATGATACAGTGGAGCTTGGAGCTGGTGATGGTGGTGAGAGAGTCTGGGCTGGCGACCTTACTCAGCAACTCGCCTACACCTTTGGGAAATGTGGCTCCCGCCAGCACTAACTGAGCTTTGGGATTGAAGGAGTTTTCCAAGTCAGTTGGGCCTTCTGCTATATGGCTCTTCTCCAGGATGTAGTCCACCAGTTCCAGGAAGCTTTCATCCAGCAGCGTGTCTGCCTCACCCAACACCAAGAAGGAGAGCTGCTCCAGGCTGATCAGTCGACCTTTCAGGACCTTCCACAGAGCCCCGGGAGTGGCTACTAGCACATCTGCTGAAGACTGGACAGCTGCAGCCTGATCCTATGCATGCCATGGCTTCCCCCTAGTTCTTGCCCCTCTAGGCCCAAGAAGCTGCCTAAGGGCTGGGCCACGGCCTGCGCCTGTTCGGCTAATTCTCCGGAAGGCACAGGGACCAGGCCTTGGGGAGCAGGGATAAGGCCGGAGTCCAGGCTTGGCCGGCCCCCAAGCCATTGAAGCAGCGGTGGTAGGTAGCTGGAAGTCTTGCCACTGCCAGTTTCCGTGGCGCAGAGGATGTGGTCGCCGCCAAGTAGCAGGGGGATGGTATTCGACTGCATTTCTGTGGGCAGAAATTAAGAAATTAAATGTGTTTTTATGAAAATAATTATTTCACTGATATTAGCTCCAAATAACTTGTATTATCATTTATGTCTTTTAATGCCTATTAGCTGTATTCTAAAGCAAAATTGGCAAACTTTTTCTGTAAAGGACTACGTGGTAATATGTAGGCTTTTGTGGGCCATGTGGTTTCTGTTGTAACTACCAACTCTGCCAGTGTAGCAAAAAGGCAGCCACAGATGAATGAGCATGGCTATGCTCCAATAAAACTTGGCCACGCATGGCGGGGCACGCCTGTAATCCTGGCTACTGGAGAGGCCGAGGCAGGAGGATCTCTTGAGCCCAGGAGTTCAAAGTTCCAGCCTGGGTGACAGAGTAAGACCCTGTCTTTAAAAAACAAAAACAAAAACAAAAACACCTTTATTGACCCTGAAATTGAAATTTCATATAATTGTCACATGTCATGAAATATTCTGTCATTGATATTTTTTCAACCATTTAAAACTTTTAAAACCATTCTCAGTTTTTGGGTCACTGAAAAACAGGCAGCTGGTCATATAAAAATAGTCAGACGGCTGGATTTGGCCCAAATACTGTACTTTGATAATCTTTAATTATCAAAGATTGCCCGTCTCTACTAAAAATTAAAAAGTGTGTAGGTAAACCTTTCCTCTAAAAGAACAATTAAGACTCTTTACCTTATATTATCAACACGGCGTACCTACTTTATACCATAGTACACCATTACCTTCCAGGGCCAATGTTTGGTAAATTGTGTGATTTCTTTTTGAGTTCCTCCTCCCCTCTTCCAGAGATTTCCCTTTCCACTCTCTGGTTCCCTTATAGCTGCCTGGGGCCTCCTCACATGGCACTTCACTGGGGACTGCCCACACCTGTGCCTCAAACCAGTTCTTAACCTGATGCCGGAGGCCCCATGAATTTAATGCAAGTTCTCCACTCGCCAGGATTGACCCATGCCTTCTCGGGAATGAACTAAAAAAATATTTTTTAAAAAAAAGAGAGAATTTAATGCGAAACTTCGTGGGGAGTGTGTGTGTGTTTCTGGAGAATTACAACCTATTCTCAAATAAATAATTCATGACCAAAAATTGATTTTAAACTATTGTTTTTGTTCTTTTCTGCAGCATTCTTTAAAGTCACCTGCCCTGTTTCCCACCTCTCAGTACCATGGATTCTCTTTTTTAAGGTGAAATCAGTAAGCTAAGGAACTACTTTGCCCTCCTTCCCCATTCTTTTAATATATGTACACTCTTAACAGTGTCCTAAAAATGATACTGAAAGTTTCACTGTTGGGATTACAAGTATTCTGGAAGGCTGGAGTTTTCAAGGTGCCCCTCAAAGTGCTCGTGTATAGTCCTCAGACACATCCTGCCATTCTGCGATCTCGCCATTCTTTTACTTACCTCCTCTGTTTCTTACCTACTTCCTCTGCTTTCAATTACACTCTAACTACTGTTAATAATTTACATTTTTCCCCTAAAAGAAATGTATGAGTTAGGCTCCCTCCCATGAGCCTCTGTCTCTACAGTGTTGCGATTACTAGCTAGTTTGCCTGTCTTCCCCCGACAAGCTCCCAGGGAGCAGGGACCATGTCTTGTTTGCTGTCTTAGCCTCTGTGCCTAGCACGCACGCGCATACGTGCACGCATACACACACACACACACACACACACACACACACAGAGCCAATTCAGATCAACCATTTGATGAGGCTATGAATAAAATCTCAACCAGTCATCTGTCCAAGCACCACACACATCCACATGCTCCCAGAGCCTAAAGGCCATTTCCACCTAAGTTCACAGCTTCATTCTTGGCAATGTCCTCATCTGCCAATGGCCAAAAATTCAATTCACTTCACAAACCAGACACTTCCAGCCCTAGACAGATGCAGTTCATATATCTATATGACATCTCATAAAATTCTAAATATCTCTAATATGGAAGTTCATCTGTGTCATACAGTGTTACTGTATCATGGCAACAAAGGAAGCATCAGTCTGATTATTTATTGACTTCATATCAATAATTCATAGCTCTTTTGCTCCTACATACAGAATCCATTGTTCAGGCAGAGTCATCATCTATAAACATGAGATGGACTCCAAAAAAGCTATTAATTCTGTTCTAGGAAAACTTCTAAAAAAACCCAAAAAGCAAAAAAGCTATTAAAAAAAATCAACTCAGCTGGGTGCAGTGGCTCATGCCTGTAATCCTAACACTCTGGAAGGCTGAGGTGGGAGGATCGCTTGAGGTCAGGAGTTCAAGACCAGCCTGAGCAAGAGTGAGACCCTGTCTCCTACTAAAAATAGAAAAAATTAGCCAGGCATGCTGGCAAATGCCTGTAGTCCCAGCTACTCAGGAGGCTGAAGCAGGAGGATCACTTGAGCCCAGGAGTTTGAGGTTGCTGCGAGCTAGGCTGATGCCACAGCACTCTAGCCCGGGTAACAGAGCGAGACTTTGTCTCAAAACAAAACAAAAACAAAAAAAACCATCAACTCTCCCATAAAACAAATTGGGAGGAAGGACATGTTGTTTAAATATATAATGTTTTAAACTACACGGCTAAAAGCTCCATCACTTATTGTCTTCTCTTCATGGTAGTTCTGGGGCATCTTACCAGTATTCTAAAAGCTCTAATAAGTAGTAGAGTTTTGGGATTACTTTATCCAATCTCTTACTCATTCCCAGCCATCTTCCTTTTTTTAAATTTTTCCTTTCTCTAAATTCTGTGTGTGCTGAGTTTGATCACTGGCATTGATTCTGGAGGGAGATGTGAATTAGAATTGTTAGAAACCAAGATAAAGAATGTGAATGGGATGACTGACTGGAATGTCAGGGGAGAAGGTGCCCATGCCGATAGCACCTCTTTAAGTGACTGCAGTCTCCATTAGCTGGGTCATATCTAGTCTCTGACTACCTGACTTTTGCCTGCCCCCACCAGAATGTAAACTCCATTAGAGCTTCACTGTTTTGTTCTCCACTCTATCTTTACTGCCTAGAATAGACTCAGGTAGAGCAGATGCTTAGTAAATATTTGATGAATGGATGATTACTGGGGAGATAGTGTCTCTAGTACATAACCCAATTTCACCTTTTCCTTTCTATCTCTCGTGGGCTGGATAAAGTTGGCTTCGTGGTACCAAAATCATCTATCCTCAGGGATCATGGCTAAGAGTTTCTTTATGAATTATACCCCCAATTAGGCAACTGTATAGAGCATGTTTCTCAAATACTTTGATGGCAAATCTTAATAAAAAATAAATTTTACATTAAGATACAGTAATCGCACCACCACAAAACTAGAGTTTCACAAAACAATACTTCCATATGTATTCTAGTCTTTTTTGCCTTTTGTTATTATTATTGTGGTGGTGGTTGTTTTTTTGCAGGTCCAAGACCACTGCTAGTTTCACATATACCCCAATAATAGATCAGAACCTACAGTTTGAACAACACAGGCATGGCGCCCCCTCAGTACTGTGCTAGCAGTTCCTGTCAGCCAGGAGAGGCCTGTACCAAGGTGGAAGTAGTAGGAAAAAGGGCACAGACTCTCTAGGCCAAGAGTCTTGAATGCAAATTCTAGTTCCACCAGAGGGTAGAACTGGGGAAAATAACTTATTCAGTCTCCATTTCCTGGAGAAGGAAACCGAGGAAAGGAACAGCCTCCATATCTAGAGAAAGGGGCTAATCATATCCTTGTGGAGCTTTTGTGAGAACTATATGAGAGTGAATATTAGGATTTCTCATCTTTGGAACTATTGATATTTGGGGCTGGATAATTCTTTGATATGGGGACTGTCCTGTGGATTGTAGGATGTTAAACAGTATCCCAGGCCTCTACCCACTGGATGCCAGTAGCACCCCCAAAATCGTCTCAGACATTGCCAACTCTCCCATGGGAGGCAAAATCATCACTGGTTGAGAGTCACTGGTGAAAGTGTCTGCCACAGTCCCTGGCCACTCTTACTTTCCTGTTGCTTCTTGCTTTGAAAAGACTACAGTTAAATCTAGGGGAGAGGACATACCGGAAACACAGTGCCAAGCTGTGAGTTCACCATCATAAGTGAGGACATGAGCACTGCAGTGGCAGGAAGACAGGCTCGAACTGTGTCAGCTGTGGCCATCATCAGGGGGCCAGACTGAGTTTGCAGCTGGAGGAGCATGATACAGTGAGAACACCATACTGCAGGAAGCTGCGTTACAGTGGGGGCTACAGGAAGAGGAAATGAAGAGGTGGGTTTGATGCTGCTGGTGGGAGACAGGGATGGGTGAGGATGAGTGGGGCCTGCTGATAACTGGATGTGGAAGGCGAAGGAGACTGGCACAAAAGCCCAGCTGGCATCCCCACCTGGGTCACCCGGTGGAGCAGAGGAGCGATGATGCCGTTGATGTAAATGGGGAAGACAGGAATGGGGGTAACAGAAAAAAGGCTACAGTGGATGATAAGTATACCCAGGGCGGAAAGTGGCACACTCCTGGCCAGAAGACAGAACTCCAGACCTAGGACACAGCTCATAGTTTCAAAAAGAAATCAGAAGTCATTTCTCTGTTTGCATAAAGGCAGAGGAAGGAATCCCTTGAGTCCTGCAACAGTGGGGGTATTTCCTTGAACAGTAAGCAGTAATACTTGAATTATACAAAAATATTGATAAGAACAAGACAAGAAAAGTAAACCATAAATCAAATAAAATGTTGGTTTCTATTTATAATTCTTTTTTAATTATAAAAGCAATTACAAGATTGCATTATTACCATGACAGTTAATATCCTCTATCAGGCATGTGTATCCTTTATGGAGAAACAGAATGCCTACGACCCTGTGATACAATGCGGAAACAGAAGTGTTATTTTCTTCAGGATCTTTCATCATTTTTTCTAGAATATTGGTTGTAAATACTTTTCATCCACATATTTTTAAGTTAAATTGTGGGTTAGCTAATAGAAGCTTTTATTTAGGCACAGGCAAATTTAAGAATAAATTATATACCTGC